TTTTTGGAGTAAGAAATGGAGTAATACATTGAAGTAAAATCCAACTTCAATCTATTTTGGAGTGAAAAATAGAGTAATACATTAGAAATACTCTTAGAAGTAGAAGATGACCAGAATGATTTTTTTTTATGAGCACGTTAGAATGATTAAAATTAAAAGTTTGAAAAATTTAATGATGAAGATGAAGTCAATAATATGAAAGAAATAGATGTGGCTGGTAGTAAGGCAAGCGATTGAAGCCATTTTTGTTTGAGTTCGGTGTTCGTTGGTTCAAGGTTGTTTTGACTCTTTAATTCTACTTAACAGATCTTATCAAGATCTCATCAGTTCAATTGCTTATATCGAGGCGTTTAAAAAATTGAGTTTTCAACATGGCCGTATCGGAAAAAAGTATGTAGAATTTGATAGTTTGTCAAAATTCATTCTTGGTGGATTAGAAGCCTAGGAATGCTTGGTTCGACAGGTAGACTTGCTTCGCTATAGGAGGAACTGTTTGTCGTGCGTTTTGTACTCGTATTGTCCATGATGATCATCAAAGAGTTAGGGAGTTTTGTGTAAAGAAATTTGTTCGTATAGATATTAAAATTATCTTTGTTTTGTTTTTGGGCTTTGTTCCTTTTGTCGTTATTTTATACTTGTTTTTCGTTAATTTTGGTTGATTCTTTCTTTTGAGTTTAGCTTCTAAAGATTTCATGTTTTTTGCCAACTTAAGTTTCATGTTTTCCGAGTAATACTTATAAACCCGGATTTTGTATTCCACGTTGTATTTCACTATAATTTCATAAAATATTCAGCTGGTAAAAAAAAAAGATGGGGTGTTAGTCAGCGTGATAAATAGTAGAAAAAATCATTCTTAGTTACACGCTAATATATTGTAAACCATTCCAAGTATAGAAATATGTTATGAACTACACAAACTATTATGTAAAACATGGTGATATACACCTACAGCAAATATGTGTAAACATGTTTCAAAACTACAAATTGGTGGTTTTTTATAAATATTATCAATTTGGTGGTTAATATGTAATTATTATTTTTTTGTCAACAATATGTAATTATTTTCAAAAAACAAAAAAAATCTCTTTT